AGTCACATCTCAGGGTCTAAAATATTCCAAATCACCTAGAATTTTCTGGGCCTTGCATAGGCCCATATCTCTCCTCTCCATCATTCTGCATGTTCCAACCACACTCAACTTTCTACAGCTCCTGAAATAAGCCATATCTGTTCCAGATCAGTAGTCTTGGAATGTCCTTCTCCTTGATCTCCCTCATCTCAATTTTTTTTTTCTAGCAAAGATCTGTGAAGTATCTCTTATGTGCTGTAGGCTTTAAGGTTACAATAAGAAAGCAGCGGATATGGCCCTTTCACAGGGCTCACATTCTAATCAGTGACGTAGTAAGGATTTGCAGAGCCTTAAATGAACATAATTTGGCAGGCCCTCTCTGAGACAAAACAAACTACAAATTATGGATATCAAATTAGATATAGTAGTGACTATTAGGAATAAGGGAAAAAATTTCAACCAGTTTCTGGGGATTAGAGGTTCAGGCTCCTTTCTTCTGAGATCTATAAGCAAATTACTAGACATGCCAATATGCTAAGGCATCCCAATGGCAGACTGCCTTCCCCTCTTTACCCTGAATACTCCACAGCTTCCAGAAGTTCCCAGCACTCACAAGGGCCCCAGGCAAGACAAGGGCTCTGAAGTTTAACTTCATTGGCTTCATGAGAAATTGGCCTCCAATCTGTGAACCAGAGAGATAACATACAGTTATACCAAAAAATATTTTCAGAGAGTGACAAAACTATAAAAATGTAAAAGTAGGCAATGTGATACAAAATGCATGGGCAGCTGGTATTAAATATGGTGGCAGCAAAGACCTTAAACTTGACTCCAGAATATAGATACGAAAGCCACACACCTAGAAAGGTCACAACTTCTTTGTTTTTTTGATGATTTCTATTGCAGCAAATTTTCAGAAGGGATTTCATGGAAGGGTAGCAGAAGGCTATGTTGCACTTACTATTATACAAAACCATTTTATATGTTTAAAAAGATCCATAAATTTAGTTTTAACAGAAAAGAAGGATTTTGCCATGAGATAAATAAAACTAATAAGAAAAAGTAAGACAAGCAACCATTACTTTCATCTTTGAAATGATGGTTCAGATCATCCTGCAGGGTATTTAAGGCCTATCAACTACACAAAGCCCTTTTGGAAATTGTCTTCAAACTCCAGAGTCTCTATTTAAATAGAAGTGCACAGTGTGGTATCTTAGAGAAATGGAGGAAAAGAAGGAAGAGGGAGTTCAATTTTAATAGAAGACAAAGAGCTAGAGATGAAGAGATAGGAAAAGAAAATGGAAAAGCTTAAATCCTCACGTACACGTCTTAAACGCCCAAGACTGAAAGGCTGTGTATCAAGTTACTAAAAGTTGTGGTCATGTAGAGTCAGAGAGGAAAGAAGATTGTCAGTAGCTTCATGCTGTCTCAATCATAGATAAACACTCTAAATGTTTCTAAATTTTTATTGAACCACTTCTTTTCATCTTTTTGAAATTGAATTTTGTCATTTTACAAGAACTCTACTTAGCTCTCAAAAATGATTCCAACAAAAGAGTATTTCAATTCAGGAGTTTAGAGAAATTAGTCAAATGGAATTGGCTGTCTTAATGACCATGCTGGCTTTCATCTTCGCTGAGATAATGTGCACAGACACTCAGGTAACTGAGAGCTTTTCCCAGAGGCTCTTTCAAATCCTCCTGTCAGGTAAGTTCAGAAGAAAGGATACAGACTAGCTACTGAGAACCTCTGTAATGGAATTCCTTCCAACAGCCTGGTCATCTTTTGTGAGAATATGAGAGGTAGGGGTCTGCCTTGTTCCTTTTATTTTGAGATACTGACCTATGGTTAGAAAAAAATAAAAAGGAAAAACCTGTAAACAAAGATATACATGATAAAAAAAAAATGTCTTCCTTCCCATTTCATGAACAGTCCTTCTTTCCAAAGTTAATTAATGGGAATAGTTTCTTTTTTTTTTTTTTAATTTTTTTAAACATTTTTTTATTTATTTCTAGGAGAGAGAGAGAGAGAAAGAGAGAGAGAGATAGAGAACGTGAGTAGGGGAGGGTCGGAGAGAGAGGGAGATACAGACTCTGAAATAGGCTCCAGGCTCTGAGCTGGCAGTCAGCACAGAGCCCGACGCGGGGCTCGAACCCACGAACCGCGAGATCATGACCTAAGCAAAAGTCGGACGCTTAACCGACTAAGCCACCCAGGCGCCCCTAATGGGAGTAGTTTCTTATGGATCCTTCAGGGAGAAGGGGAAAGACACACACACACACACACACACACACACACACACACACACACACACACATTTATACACACATGATTAACGTTTTACACAAATTGCATTATATACCAAAGAAAGTTAGACTCTTCTCATTTTTCAAGTTGAATAACTGTCACTGAATTGTCTTTCAAAGAAATTGTATATTTTGTTTTCCTACCAGTGGTATATGAATGTATATTTTTCTTCATACCTTCCCCAACATTGAATATCAAGCCTCCTTAACCTTATTAATCTAAGAGGTGAAAAAGATCACCATTTTTTGCTTTTGTTGACTTGAATTATGAGTGAAAGTGATCATCTTTCCAAGGTTTTAGCCATTTATATTTCTTTTTCCATTAGGCATTTATCACCTTTGCCTGTTTTTCTACGTTCATTGTCTTTTATGTGGCCATTCATATAAACCATCTGTAAATTTAGAAAAATCACCATTTGTAAGCTTTGTCTGCTACAAATACTTTTCCAAGATAGCCTTTCTTTTCATTTCCTTCTTGCAAGTATACTTTTTTTAACCTTTACTTTCATGGCTTTGGTGTTTGGTGTCCTGCTTAGAAAGCTTCCCCATAACAAGATTACATATAAGTTTACCCAACTTTTCTTTTAGTAATTTTATTATTTTATTTTTAAATTTTTCTTGTACCTAGAAACTACTTTGAGATTCATTTTAAGTAAAAGATAAACTTTATTTTTTTCCAAACTGTTAGCAAATTTTTCCAATGCTATCTATGAATCTTTATTTCACCACTAATTTGCCTTCATAATGCTAATTTCCCATAAGTAGGTATACCAATCACCAGATCCTTTATTATGTTTCCTAGGTGTATTTCTTTGGTATACTAAACTCTCTTAGGTATTTTAACTTGGTGACACATTTTATTATCTAGTAGAATAGTTTTCTTTTATTACTTTTCTTTTCCAGAATTGTCCTTCCAATCCTCATATGTTTACTTCCACAAATTTACTATGGTAACATTTTGTCTAATCTCCCTCCAAGTTTTTGATGTTTTAATGAGACCGAATGACTTAAATTAGTAAATTAAGTTAGCATTGGAGTGCCTTGGTGGCTCAGTTGGTTAAGCATCCAACTTCTGCTCAGGTCATGATCTCAAGGCTTGTGGGTTCCAGCCGCACATCGGGCTCTGTGCTGACAGTCAGCTCAGAGCCTGGAGCCTGCTTCAGATTCTATGTCTCCCTCTCTCTCTGCCCCTGCCCTACTTGCAATGTCCCTCTCTTTCTCTCTCTCAAAAATAAATAAATGTTGAAAAAATAAAAAAAATAAAGTTAGCATTAATTGATCATTTTTCTTACCTACCCATAAATGAAGCATCATTTCCTTTAGCAATTTCAACAGTTTCAATAATGTAGTTATAAAAGTCTTATAAATTAAGTATGTAACTTTTTAGAACAGTTATGAATGGGATCTTTTCTACTTTTTCATCAATATGCTATTGTTTATTGGTAGGAAGGTTCTAACTTTTGTATATTAATTTTGAAACCAGCCATCTTGCTAAAATTAATTTTAATTTTAATTAATTTAATTTAAATTTATTTTAAAATTTATTGTAATTGTAAAAGGGTTGTTTTGTGTGTGGATTTTTTAAATTTCCCAGGTAAACAATCATCTTTCTTTGTTTTCCCTTTCCTTATTTCTTTCCAGCATTTATCCTTCTAATTTCTTTCTTTTCTTAAAATTTGTATTCACTATAACTTCTTGAACAATATTAATAAAATTAATAATACTAGGAATCCTTGCCTTTATCCTGGTTTTAATTTGAATGTTTATAGTGTTTCTCTGTTAAATATTTTGATTATGTTGGGTGTTTGTCAATATCTTCATTTAAATATAATAATAACAGTTTTCCTCTTTTAGACCAATATTTTGAATAATTAAATTACTTCATTTTCTAATGTGTAAACATCTTTGCATTCTTGGGATGAACCTCACCAACCCAAGAAATAGTGTTCCTTAACTAAATACTTGAGGCTATTTAAAATTTTAAAAGATATTTGTACCAATATTATGAGTGAGACAAGTTCATAATTTTAGAGTGGGGTAAGAGGAGCATTTTAATATCATTTTTCTCCTAAACTATTCATGGAAGTTTTCCTTCTTTCACTATTCACTGAAATATTTTTATTTTTATTTTTAAATTTTTATTTAAGTAAGCTCTATGCCCAATGTGGGGCTTGAACTCACAACCCTGAGATCAAGAGTCTCATGCTGTACCACTTTCACGCGCCTGGCCCTGAAATACTTTTAAATCAGGTTGTAATTATGTATGAGACTATTTGAACTGATTTTTCAGACTGCACCACTGCTATATTTTGCATATGTTTAGTATGATATTTTGCTTACCGAAAGGTCTCTTTAGGAAAAGTGTAAATTTTCAGGAAGTGTGGTTTGAGGTTTTTAAAATTTAATCAACATTTTAATATGTCTAGGCTCTATGCTAATCTCTTTTTCATTCCTGATCATGACAATTTATCTTCTTTTTCTTTTTTCTTGATCACTTTACCTAAGAGTGTGTTGATTTTGTTGGTCTTTTCAATGAACCAACTTTTAATTTTGTTAATTTTATTTACTGTTTGTTTTCTATTTTGTTGATTTCCAATCTTTATTATTTATTATTTCCTTTATTCTACTGACTTTGGATCCATTTTGCTCTTTTCTTTAGCTTCTTAATGAGGAATGCTAGGCACTGATTTCAGATTTTTTTTTTTTTAATTTTAGGGAGAGAGAGCATGCTAGGGAAGGAGAGGAGCAGAGGAAGAGGGAGAGAAAGAATATTAAGCAGGCTCCATGTTCAGCATGAAGCTTGATGCACGGCTCATTCCCACAACCCTGAGATCATGATGTGAGTCAAAGTCAAAAGTCAGACACTCAACTGATTGAGCCACTCAGGTATTCCAAGATTTCTTCTTTTCTAATACCAGCGTTTAGTGTTTTCAGTTTCCCTCTTAGCACAGCTTTATCTCATAAATTTGGATATGTTGTCTTATAAGTATAATTCAGTCCAAAGTATTTTCTTATTTTCCTTATTTTCCAGGGTATTCTTTGAGTTTATACCATTTGGGGTTTGCTGATCTTGAATCTATAAATTTATGACTTTCAAAAAATTTGAGAAGTTTCAGCCATTTTTTCCTCAGTCATTTTTTGTGCTGCTATATCTCTTATAGTGACTCTCTGGGATACTCATGTGCTAGACTTTTTGGTATTGTCACATTAGTCCCTGAGACCTTTTTTTTTTTTTTTCTTCTTCCCCAAACTTTTTCTCCTCTATTCTTCAGGTTAGATAATTTCTATTGACTTATCTTCACACTGACTGACTTGTTCCTCTGTCAACTCAATTCAATTTGTGGGTCTATCTACCAGTAAGTTTTCTTTTTAATTTATTTATCACATTTCTCATTTTAAAATTTCCTTTTGTAGACTCTAGTTATCCGATGAGGCTTTCTCTCATTCCATTCATTTTAGGAGGGTTTCCTCTACACTCTGTTGCATAGTTTTAATATATAATAGCCACATTAAGGTCTCTGAGAGTTCCACTATCCAGATGCATTTCTGAGATGACAGCTGTTTATTCTTTTTTTCTTGAGAGATAGAATAGTTTTCTATTGTATCCTGGAAAGTTATGTTGTGTAGATGATAGGCCCTGTTGTAATCCTCTGAAGAAACTAATATGAGTTACACAGTAAGATTGATGGGACATCTGGGAGGCTCAGTTGGTTAAGCATCCGACTTCAGCTCAGATCATGATCTCAAGGTCAGTCGGAGCTCTGTGTCAGGCTCTGTGCTGACAGTGCAGAGCCTGGAGCCTGCTTTGGATTCTGTGTATCCTTCTCTCTCTGTCCCTCCCCTGCTCATGCTCTGTCTCTTTGTCTCTCTCTCTCTCTCAAAAATAAATATTTAAAAAAAATTAAAAAGAAACTGTAAAATTGGTCTTATTTCTATGAGTGGGAATTCAAATCTCAGTTCAGTTTTCTGAGATTTTGTAAATTTTTAGCCCATACATTCATTGACTAGTAGGAAAATTTTTGGAGTAGTCCAGTTTTCAGGTCAGATCTTTTTAAGCCTCTGTTTGTTTGGGTCTTTCCTGTATAGATATTATTTCTGGGGGGGGTGGGGCATTATTCCAGGATGAAGCTGAGACTTGTGCATATGGCTTGAAGCTCCGCTCCATGTTTGAAGATGTTGCCATGTGCTGGTTGACCTGTGCACTGAGATCGGGAGCTGGGCCTGATCCAGGATCTAAGTTTAGGAGACCTATGTAGGATCATGCACGGAATCAGAAATCCCCTTCTCTCCCTCTCTCCTTTTCAGGACTTCCTTTAAAGCATACTCTTCAGCTTGTGACAACCCCTTCCCCTGATTTCTGTGGGGCTTACCCTTAGAGCAAGGCCACAGAGGAAACATAAATTCATAAACAAGTGAGAAACTCATGCCATGTGGAACATTCCCCTCAGTGTTTTCTCCTCTACCACCTGGCTGGTTTTGTTTCTTTCAGGGTCCTTGAGCAATTCAGGACATTTCTGTTTATTTGTTGTTAAAAATTTTTTTTCACTGTGATCAGTGGGAGAAATGGTCTATAGTAAGATCATTTCTTGAGATTTTTGCATTTGTTTAAAGATACCTTTGCCTTAGGGGAGGCCAGTAGAACAGATGACTCTTGATCTCAGGGTCCTGGTTCAAATCCCATGTTGGGTGTAAAAGCTTACTTAACAACAACCACAAAAAGATAGCTTTGCCTTTGTGCTTACATAACAAGGCTTGCATAAAATTTTTTATTAACTCTTTTATCACAGCTTAGCAGAGATCACCTCACTGTAAAATCTGAGGAAGTCTGGAACTTCCTGAATAGAGCCTTTCTATCACTATATTTTTGCAGATTTCTTTGTCCTTGGAGTTCAGTAAATTCTTCAGAACATCTCTTGCTAATGAACACCCTGTATCAGTTTCTGCTTGAACATATGGGCCTTTTAATCCATAGTTTCAGTTTTTCCTTTTCCTTATAAAAATACTCATTTTCCTATATGAGAATACTTTTTTCTACTCTAGTGTTTAGTATGTCTTATTTGAAGATATTAAAGATCTTTATGTGAGATTGACTTTTGTTCTGCACATTTATTACCTGCCCTCTAGCTGCTTTCATCTTTGTTGCTTTTATATCAAATCACTGTGATTATCCTAAACCTTTCCTCCACTTCTGAAACTCTGTCTTTGACATGTCTATTCTAATCCTTACTAATTCTAATTTATTCTTTACTTCTGTATTAAGCACCCTCTTTGTTTCCTTAGCCCTGAAATCTCCCATTTCATCTTTCTGCTACTTCACTATTTTACTTTGTAACTCCTTTTTTTAACCCAAATAATGTTCTTCCTAATTCTTTTGCAGTCAGATCTCTCATGGTGTGCAGAGTGGGTTGCATTGTGTACTCCCAAAATTCATGTCCATCCGGAACCTCAGAATATGACCATATTTGGAAATAGGGTGTTTGAAGATATAATTAAGGTGAGAATTGAGATGAGGTAATGCTGGATTAGAGGGTGCCCTGAATCCCATGAGACTGCCTTTATTCAAGATAGAAAAAAAACAAAGAGACACAGGGGAAGAGACCATGTAAAGACGGATGCAGAAGTTGGAGTAGTAGTTCTATGAGCTAAGGAATGCCCAGGGTTGCTGGCAACCAACCACCAGCAGCCAGGTGAGAAATATGGGAAGGCTTCTCCCTCAAACCAACCCTTCTGACATTCGATTTTGAACTCCTGGCCTCATGAACTGTGAAAGAATAAATGTTTTTTAAAGATACCTGTTTATAGTCATTTGTTATGGCAGTGCTAGTCAGCTACTAAAAATACCAGTTTTGGTACTGGAAAGTAATAGGCTGCAGTACCAAATATCTAAAAATGTGGAAGTGGCTTTGGAATTGGGAAATGAGTAGATGCTGGAAGAATTTTCATAGAAAAATTCTAGATGCCTTGAAGAGTGGGTTGGGAGAAATATGAATGGTAAAGGCAAATCAGCTGAGGGCTCAGATGGAAGTGAGGAGCGTGGTAGACAGGACGCCCAGCATTTTAGGAAACACGTCTATCATTATGAGCGGAATATTGGTAGAAATATGAACTTCCAAGGTGCTTCTGGTGAGGTCTCAGGAGGAAACGAGGGATACCTCATTGTCAAATGGAACAAAGATGATTCTTGTCATAAAGTGCCAGAAGCTTTGGCTGAGTTGTGTTCTATACCTTGGTGAAAGGCAGAAATTATAAATGATGAACTTGGATATTTAGCTAAGGATATTTCCAAGCAAAGTGGGATAGGTTCAACCTGGTTTCTCCTTGCTGAAGCTGATAGTAAAATGTGAAAAGAAAGAGATGAATTTAGAAAGCAGCTATTCTGCAAAAAGGCACCAAAATTTGATGATTTGGAAAAAATTATCAGCCTAATGTAGATAGCATGCTCTAGAGGTAGGATCAAGGATTCTGACAACCTTTTGCTTAATAGATTAAGTACGTAACTCATCAACCAGCCAACCATCCCAACCAAAGCTGGGAAAGATCTGCAGAGGACTTTCTTATAAGATGGCCTAGACTGCTGTGAATTACTTGGGAGACTAAAAAGCCTTCTGAGAATGTTATACGAGCAGAAACACTACCAGCCTGGACTAAAAAGAGAGAGAGATGGGACAAAATGAAGACTGTCACACTTCTGAGATTCTACAAGGGAAAAAAAACCTGATAAACTTCTTGGCTGCAAATAAGGGCTAACCTTATTACAGAGCTACAGATGCAAAGGCAGAGGCCAGAGAGGGTAAGGCCACTGCTTCAGGCCCAGAGGACAGAGTATCAAACCTTAGATGATAAGATAATTCCAAGTCTTGCATCTAATGGAATTTTTGCTGCTGGGTTTTAGACTTGCTTGAGACTTGCTTTATACCTCCCAATTTCTCCCTTGGGAATGCTAATGTTTATCTTATGCCTGACCTACCATTATATTTTGAGAGCAGATAGCTTGTTTTCTTGTTTCACAGATCCACAGATAGAAAAGATGGCCAAGGATTGCCAGCAATCACCAGAAGCTCTCCTCCAGGACTGTGAGAGAATAAATTTCTGTTGTTTCAAGTTTCCTAGTTTGTGGTAATTTGTTATGGTGGCCATAGGACATGAATGCAGTGTGAAATTTACTTTTATTTCTTTGGCATATTTTTCCCATATGATATATTTCATCTATTGGAAATTTTTTATACTAATTCCTTTTTTCAATAATTTTTTATTATAGTGATTTTATGTAGCTTTCATGTGATTTCTTTTTGCTTTCATTGTTATTCATTTGAAAAAATTATTTTTGCCAAAACCTTCTTTCGGTCCTAAATAATTTGGGTATATTCCTCTTGTCTTCCATAGAGCTTTGGTGTGAATACTGTCATCTCCTTAATTATGCATGGATAGGAAGAATTAAGTCCAGCTATGACAAATCACAGACAGATGATCTTGCCTATGTGCTCTCTCATATTATTGTTCCAAATTCACTATACATGAGAATGATCAAAAGACTTCATTGAATATCTTTTGGCCAATAAACATGGCTAAAATGAATGAGTTGGCAAGGATCTAAAATAAACAGAAATCTCCTAAATTGTTAATATAAACCAGTTCAACCATGTTGCAAAATTGTTTGGCAATATCCATCTATTAAACCTGAATCATATGTATACTCCATGACCCAGCAATTCAACTTTTAGATATATAACCAACATGAGTATCATATTCATGCCTTCACCAAATATATTCATATAGTCCCTAAAAGACATATAAAATACGCTCATAGCACTTCCAAACTGGAAACTGTTCAACTATCTCAACTATAAAATGGGGAAAAATGTGATATCCTCACACAATGAAATTCCATAGAGTAATAAGAATGAATAAACAGAAACTACACACAACATTGAGCAAAAAAGAGAGACTCTGTTATGGACTAAATGTGTCCACTCAAAATTCATAAATTGAAGCCTTAACCCTCATTGTGACTGCATTTGGGTCTTAGGAGACAATGAAGATTGAAGAGGTTATTAAGTGTGGGGCCACAATCTGATAGCATTAGTGCCCTTCTACGAAAACACACCAGAGAACTTGCTTTCCCTCTGCCATGTGAAGGCACAGCAAGAAGACAACCGTCTGCAAACCAGGAGGGAGTTCTCCTCTCAGGAAACTGAATTGGCTGGAAACTTGATCTAGGACTCCCAGCCTCCAGAAATGAGAAAGTACATTTCTATTGTTTAGCCATTAAGTCTTGGTATTTTTTTCCCCCTGACAGCCCAAACAGACTAATACAAAATCTACTGCATGAATTCTCCATTTCTATAAAGTTAAAAAACTAATCTACCGGATTAGAAGTTTGAATAATGGATACTTCTGGGACAAATAGGGAATGACTAGTAATGGGTCCAGGGGGACCTAAGAGGCACTAGCAAAGTTCCACTTTTTGGCACAACTGCATGGGTTTCTTAACTTTGTGACAATTCACTGAGATGTATTCTGGTGATTTTTGCATCTTTCTACATGTATGATATACAAAAAGTATAATAAAAAATGGTTTGTTTTGTTTAATAAAAAGAGAGTTCAGGGCTGTAGTTCACTCCTTGTAATCAGGCCATAGATTTGAGGGTTTTGTTTTTTGTTGCTTTATTTATTTATTAAGAATTTTTTAAATGTAGCTACTCTTAGGATGTAGCTCATTCTTCTCCATTCAACAATGTCAAAGAATCCCAGATCTTCAATTCCCTTACCATATTTTGTCAGCGGTAATTCAGTCTCCTCCCACTCAGTTATTTTTTGTTTTTAACTATAAGACATTGGTTTGTAGAAAATAAAATTGATAGGCTTTCACCTGCAGTTCTCCAAGTGTCTGTTCCTTAAGATTGATTTTATTTTCTCATTCAGCATTCTTTACACTAGATCCCTAAACTGTTGTAAAAGACCAATTAGGGGGGCCTGGGTGGCTCAGTTAAGCATCAGACTCTCAATTTTGGCTCAGATCATGATCTCATGGTTTGTGAGTTCGAGTCCTCCATTAGGCTTCACACTGACAGCATGGAGCCCTCTTGAGATTCTTTCTCTCTCTCTGCCCTTCCTATGTCTCTCCCGAATAAATAAACTTAAAAAATAAAATAAAAGACCAATTAATTTGGCTGATTATTATAATTTTTCAGACTTCTCTACTCAGCTCACCTCTCAGTAGGTGAGCCCTAGTGGACTTGCCTGCCTGTGGTGCATTGATACATAGCTGTTTATATTTCATACTCTCAAAGGATTTGACAGTTCTCTCCAAGTTGACATCTTTATTCACTCTTTTTTCTTCAAACTGTAATGATTGTGTGAGAGGGGAAGGAAAGAATGAAGAGGTTAAAATCAATGATTTGTTTTAGAATATAATTCATCTTTCCCCCAGAGGCTTACAGTATGGATGAGAGAAGAAATCTTCACAATACTTCTACATTCTACCTTTCTTTCCCTGGCTTGGTTATATATCTATAACTTTTTTTGACTCCTGCTGCCACACTAAAATTTTCTTTCATGCATGTTTGCAATTGCTGTTTTAAACTTATTTTTAATTTTTTAATTTTTAGAGGAGGGGTCTATCATATAACTTTTTTTTTTTTACCGTCTTGCTCTGGAAAGCCCATGGCAAACTTCCTTAACAACAGAGGACACCAGCTTACTTAGCTATCATATATTCTAAGATGTATTAATAGAAAGGTGACTTTAAAAAACTGTATAAATCCCTATTAATAATAATAATAATAATAATACATGTGTACAGTTAAGCTAAAATTGTCAAAATTTTAAAGACTCCTGATCATAATTGACCCCAAGCGTTAGGCAGCAGAATTCTATCATTTCGGACCCAAGAAAGAGGAAGAGCATTCCCTCTCCTCGGAGCATGTTTAACCACTGCATTTATTCTTCTTGAAGACAATGCCTGTTTTTTTTACTGTTCACTGTCCTACGCCCACTGCCAACACCCTACACAATGTCCAGTCCTAAATAAATATTTGTGAATAAATAAATTAACTAACTAATGAAAATGTAGTAATAACAATACAGTATGTTCATGTTAGAAAAAGAGAAAGAGAGACACCTGGGTGGCTCAGCCGGTTAAGTGTCCAACTTCAGGCTCAGGTCATGATCTTACGGTTCATGCATTTGAGCCTTATGTCAGGCTCTGTGCTGAAAGCTTGCTCAGAGCCTGTACTCTTTGGATTCTGTGTTTTCCTTGCTCTCTGTCCCTCCCCAACTCACTCTCTGTCTCTCTCTCAAAAATAAATAAACATTAATGGCCAACTAATCTTTGACAAAGCAAGAAAGAGTATCCAATGGAAAAATACAGTCTCTTTACAAATGGTCTTGGGAAAACTGGATAGCAGTATGTAAAAGAATAAAACTAGACCACTTTCTTACACCATACACAAAAATAAACTCAAAATGGATAAAAGACCTACATGTAAGACAGGAAACCATCAAAACCCTAGAGGAGAAAACAGGCAACAACCTCTTTGACCTCAGCCGCAGCAATTTCTTGCTCAACACATCTCCAAAGGCAAGGGAATTAAAAGCAAAAGTAAACTATTGGGATCTCATTAAGATAAAAAGCCTCTGCACTGCAAAGGAAACAATCAACAAAACTAAAAGGCAACCAACTGAATTGGAAAAGATATTTGCAAATGAAATATCGGATAAGAGGTTAGTATCCAAAATCTATAAAGAACTTACCAAACTCAATACCCAAAAAACAAATAATCCAGTGAAGAAATGGTCAGAAGACATGAAGAGACCCTTCTCCAAAGAAGACATCCAGATGGCTAACAGACACACGAAAAGATGCTTAACATCACTCATCATCAGGGAAATACAAATCAAAACCACACTGAGATACCACCTCACACTGGTAAGAGTAGTTAAAATTAACAACTCAGGAACTAAAGATGCTGGCAAGGATGTGGAGAAAGAGAAACCCTCTTGCACTATTGGTGGGCATGCAAACTGGTACAGCCACTCTGGAAAAGGGTGTGGAGGTTCCTCAAAAAATTAAAAATAGAACTACCCTACATCCAGCAATAGCACTACTTGGAGTTTATTCAAAGGATACAGGAGCACTGATCCATAGAGGAACATGTATCCCAATGTTTATAGCAGCACTTTCAACAATAGCCAAATTATGGAAAGAGTCTAAATGCCAATCAACTGGTGAATGGATAAAGATGTCATTTATCTATACAATGGAATACTTCTTGGCAATGAGAAAGAATGAAATTATGCCATTTGCAGCAATGTGGAGGGAATTGGAAGGTATTATGCTGAGTGAAATAAGTCAGTTAGAGAAAGATAGATATCATATGTTTTCACTCATATGTGGATCTCGAGAAACTTAACAGAAGACCATGGGGGATGGGAAGAGAGAAAAAATAGTTACAAACAGAGCGGAAGGGAGGCAAACCATAAGAGACTCTTAAATACAGAGAACAAACTGAAAGTGGATGGGGAAGTGAGGGAGAAGGGAAAATGGGTGATGAGCATTGAGGAGGGCACTTGTTGGGATGAGCACTAGGTGCTGTATGTAAACGATGAATCACAGGAATCTACCCCAAAAACCAAGAGCACACTTTACACACTGTATATTGAACAATTTGACAATAAATTATTGTTTATTATATTTATTCATTTATTATATTTATTTATTACAATTATATTTGAATAATTATTATATCTTATTATAAATAATATTTTAATATAATTTATATTATATATTTATATATAAATTATATATTTATATTGAATAAAATTTATTTTAAATAAATAAACAAACAAACAAACAAACAAATAAGTAAATAAAACAGATCAGAAATGCCTGGGTGGCTCAGTCAATTGAGCATCCAACTTCGGCTCAGGTCATGCTCTCGTGGTTCATGAGTTCAAGCCCCTCATCTCGAACTCATCTGTGTCTCCCTCTCTCTCTCTGTGTCTCTCTACCCCCTCCTCCACTCATGCTCTGTCTCTCTCTCTCTCTTAAAAATAAACATTAAAAATAAATA